TCATTTGACCAGCTGGATAACGTCGTCAACAGGTTTTTCACTTACTAACCTACGCGAGATTACCTCGCCCTTCAGCTTCAAGAATATACTTGATTTGCTTTGTGAGTGTGAACTTGACGTTGTTAGCTTAAGTACTATCTTTGGGCTGACAAAAGCTTCAGCCCCTGACTTGTCTAGTTTACAATCATCATCGATCGATTCACCACGTCGCATCCATCGCTGGAACAGGTTGCCTTGCACGGTTTTGGCGATATTTACCGAGATATTGACCTTCTGGCCTGCCTCAAAGATGGTAGAGAGAGCCGCCTCGCTGTCACGAATCAGCAAATGATCCCAGAGGCTTGTTTCCTTGCCAGGGATCGACTTCTCAACGTAGCTAGCCCACGTTTCGTACATTAGGCTCAAAAGACAGTCATTCCCCTCCTTGCCAAGCGTGAGTAGAATGGAGAGGTCGTCAATTGATTGCCGCTAGCCACCGGACTTTCTATCTACGCATGTTGCAGGGCTGTAGATATTATTCGTGTAACCAGAATTCCTCGCAGCCACTTGCATCTTCGCCAGTATTTCATCTCCGTAACGTTTCGTAAGCTCATTGACCGTCATAACCTTTCATCGAATATCTTTACGCCATAGCCATCCATGCGCATGTACTTGGCCGATGCTCTCAAGTTTGGGTTGGCTAGAAGAGCTTCCACATTAGCTTCATGGTTTAATAGCTAAAACGTCATCTTTTGACTTGTCGGATCGTAGGCCATACTGAAGTTTTTCACCTTATAATTGTTCAGTTGCTATATGTTTGGTTACAGAGTCTTTTTACCGCCGTAATAAGCATCACTGACAGTGATTCATCGTTGCATGTAGTTGTCAAAGTGGGTACAACTGGTGTGGCTTTGTTAGGATACTTTTTCTGTCGTCGTAGTTGATCCACAGTTTGAAACGTAGCTTTTTCAGCAGATGATGCTTTTTCCAATCAAGACCTAGATGCAGAACCCTTCGTTAAGAGAATGTTTTTTTTCGTCCAACCCCGTTAATTTTGTGTCAGTTAATTTTGACGACGACAATCCTGTTTTCACTCTTTCGAGGCATAAACGGTAAGGTATTCTCAACCACTAGCAGCACCAACCGCAATGACCGATTGCAACAAATGTCGTCAATTATACACTCAAATCCACGAATTATAGTGACTGTGGGGAAGCAAAAGCTATGATCGGAGGGTCTCCCTGAAGGTTCGCAGACAATATTCGCTAGGTAGGTAAACGGAGAAGTAAGCTTCTACTAGTGCTACGACTTCCGCTGACCATGAAAGCCGTCACTCTTAGTACTCCAGATTGGCATTGTGCGATCATCGTCCATTGCGTTGCGGT